GGGGGTGTATGCCATCATGAAATATGCTCACATGGGCAATGTGACATTTTTTTTTCAGCATGTAAATACTGTTAGAAATAGATGCCCAATGTACCCCGTGTCCCAATACCCCACCTTCCCTTACATGTTTCACCAACTTTTCAGAGGCACTAATTACCACCTATCACGGGAAAAACAATGTCTCAATTTTTGAGAAAAAGGGGAAAACTTTAAGGACCTTCCATATTTGAGGAAAAGTCCTCAGATCTCGCCTCGGATTTTGAGGAACCTCCTCAAAAAATGAGGAAAAACCCCACATTTTATGAGGAGACTTCTTCGAAATCTGAGGAGCTTCGGTCGGAAATACTACCTGGAACTCTCTTTTTCATCCTTCTACGCTAACAGTGCTGTTACCCCGTTTTTGTGAAGCATATCTTAAATGTGCTCTTCCATTTCATGTACCATTGTACCATTTAATTCGTCGTAAAATTGCGGTTCGAACGAGCATAAATTTGATAAGGTTTTAATGTCGATCAACATTTTTACAAGTAAGTCGTTTACTTCCAAGAGTTAGAAAATTTTCAGTCCATTCTATTTTATACTTGTTCAAATCGCAATTTTACAAAGAATTCGATGGCCCAATCCAAAAAGGAATTGAACAGTTCGTTTCAGGAATATTCCACAAAAACGAATTAATAACGTGCATTGCGTGTTTAACATATTTCCGTATGAATATCGACGTAATTTATGCTCGTTTTTGTGCATAAACCCGTACATGCGAAACTCTATATACGACACAAAACAAAAATCCCAGTTACTGTGTTGTATACGTGTCATTGGAAGTGAGCGTTCTTAAGCATATGAAGTCCTTCAAGTTCTTCGCTATCACAAAGCCAACATTTAGTTTACACTTCGAAAGAAATCGAGATTTGCATTTAACTTCATCGCCAATGAGAAAATCTGTTTTGAAAAGACCCTTATGAACTCTGTCCAGATGCTTGTGCTGTTCGTGGCAGTTATACCGTTCTACCGCGTGCAAGCGTTGGCCTACGTGCTGTTCGCTTCGGCCGCCGTGCTGTACCGCGGGCTGGGGGCGGTGAGCGCCTCAACCCGCTCAACAGGGGAGATTGCCCTGCGACACGTCGCAGCTATGCACTCACCTCTGCTGGCTGCCGCAAGTGAAACAAGGAAGGTGTTCGAGGTAATTCTTCATCATCTTTTCCATCTCCAATGCAAACATTGTGTATATCAAGGTCTACATGCAAAACTTTTCACCAGAAAATGGGCCTAGCACTATTCAGGTTTTATGCAGTTGAATATCATCAAGGAGTTCTATGGAAAAAGTTTAGTAACACTAAAAAATTTGTTGATCTATACAAAAGGACAAATCCTTAATGATGAAAAGGCAAATTTTATAGTAAAACGTTTAGGAAAAAATTAGAGACAGTCGCCTCTAAAGCTGACTTGCTAAAGACGCACAATTGCCACACCCAAGCCTCCTATAAACTAGACGCGTCAGCGTTTGTAAACATAGACACCTATGTTTACCTGCTTCAATGAAGACAGGAGTGCATTTAATTTGCTTTCAGGTTCCGCTACTCCGCTTGGTGCTGTGCGCTGTTGTGCTGCCACTGTTCGGCACCGTGGAGCTAGCGGTTTCACTGCGACACGCCACGACGGGAAAGTTCGCGGTCACCATCTTCAGGGCAATCGCAAACCTCTTTATCCCGATATGCTTTACTGGTAACTCACAAACTTGTCTGCACAGTCTTAAACAATTTTAAGGAAAGCTACAGACTTAAGTTTGAAACTCCGACTCGGACACTGATGCAAGCAGCCAGACTATTCCAGACATCTACAAAATGTCCCAGTTTAACTGACATTTGGAAAGGATTTGTTAAAGAAGCAGCCCCCCCCCCCTCCCGGTCAAACGAAGTTGCCAGCTTCATTTCGCTCCGCAGGCAATTATGTTCGGCAGGGGTGTGGCGCCCTGCGCCCTGTAACTGGATTCTCGAAAAAGCATTCCGGTAAAGCTGAAATGCAGAAGAATGCAGGAAACAAAGAAACAGAAGTCACCAGGTTAAGCAATATATAACCGGTATATATTTGATATACAATTGTAAGTAGGGTTTCAGGAATTGGGGGAATGTACCTAAACGGTGATAGATGGCAATGTCTTATAAAATTACTGGGATGCTCGTAAATAGATTGACACAATTTTTTTGTCTGCGTTATTTTCGACCTCTTTCCTATGCGCAGGTCAGCTCCTAGAGGACGCTAGCGGGGCCCTGCGGTCGCAGCTGTACGCTGCCCCCTGGCCCGAGGAGCGGCCACCGGCCCGCCGCCTGCGCGCTGCCCTGATGCTGGGCGCGGGCGCACAGGCTCGCGTGGAGCTCCGCGGCCTGGGCCGTCTCAATGCAGCCACTTGCCTGGAGGTGCTGCAGCGCTGGTTTAGCGTTGTTAATGTGCTCATCAATGCCCAGGGCGGCATGGACTAACGCCCAACTGCAGTCAAAGACAACTTTGAAGTATCCTTACAACCTGCGAATTTATCGAAATGGGAAACTGCGTTCCCTGGCGTTTTTGATGCAGCCATTATTTGACTGAAACCCATTTCAGGTATCCGTCTGCGGAAAATCTGTGAGTGTATTCGTTAGATTTCACCTTGAAATGCCAATTAAAATATTAAAACAAGAAGCCATCAAGGCACGTAACATATGTGTTAGCATCGCGTTCATAATTTGAACTTTATTAGCAGATGATACGCAGTTATCATCAGCTTGTGCTCTCGTGAGCACGAGTTCAACATTGAGAGCGTAAAGTAAAGTAAAGCGTAAAGTATAGTTAAAGCGTATACGGTATATAGGTTAAAGTTCGCTGTTGAAGCAGCAGCTTTGTTGAAACACAGTAGCAGCTATCCCGAGCTATCCCATACATTGGTGGACTCTAGCTCTAGCCAGCCTCGGTCCTGTTCAGATTATTCAGTGCTGTTCAGTGCTGCTCAGACCTCTGTTCAGACAGGCGTCAATGAACGGCCATCAATGCTTCGGTCGCAACTTGGCGACTAATTTACGACCTCGTAAAAAAATATTCCGGCGTAAGACACGGAGCACGCAGCCGCGCACGACTCGTCCCGCCGAACCGCGCCCCGCCCCGCCCCACAGCCCACAGCACCCCTCCGCGGCCCGTCGCGTGTTCAGCGGTGATGAGTTCAACGGTGATGACGCATGCGTTTAACCTTTTTTGTTTAGTAACCACTATACATAGAACCTTCGTTTTACTCCACGGAATCTACGGAATTACGAAACCCCAACTTGTCTCCGTTAAATTCTAGAAAAATTGGTAATTTTTAATGGGTCGGTTACCTTCACATCAATAGCAATTACAGTAGGCTATTATTTCTTGCATCTGCATCCCAGTTGACAAAACTGTCTCAACATTGCACTACTCAGTTTTAAAATGTAAAGAAAACGATAATTTGTTGGGATTTTGGAAATCTTCTCTGAAAATTTTAAGCCAACGCGGTTTGTTGTACAAAGTTTCTTTGTAGCCCATAGTTCACGAATAAATGTCGTTATATCCTTAAAATTAAATAAAGAGTTTTGGAAACTTTTTTCGCGTAGAATTCATCATGAAGTTCTGACTTTTTTAAAGAAAAAAAACAGTGGAGTAAAAGCCAACGCTATACATATAAGTCATCTGCTTTCACGATATAGAGTTAGGGTTTTTTTTTCTTCCGTCGAAACTGCGCATTGCAGTCAAAACAAAATAGCTCGTGTGGTAATTTTTTACTGACGACACGAGCATGTGCATGCCTGTTGGCACGTTGAGTCACTGAACTGGCATTTCCCGTCTGAGGAGCATCCTATACACTCGCATCTCAAGTTATTAGGGCAGGAGTGCGAACAGGAAGCTGGAATTCATAAAAACATTCGTTAGCAAATAGTGCGGCCGGCACAATGCAAGGTGCAGCAGTAAATCTGTGCGTACCAGGAGGGCCGTTAAGTGAACACGCGCAGCGACATCGTTCCTTGCACGCCCAGGACGAAAAGATGCATGTGCCATTCGATGTACATCCCTGAACACTGCATGTTAGGTCAGACGGGCACGTTGATTTTGATGATCCTGGGGAACAAAAGTATTTACTGCCAAGTAGGGGCTAAACGTGTACGGAAAAGGTTAAAAACACTGTTAAAAATTTCTTGGGATTTCCCGAAGATTCACTCTAAGCTACTACGAGAAATTCCCAGAGGACTCCGTTCTTAATTTTTATGTCCTAAAACACCTGGTCAAGGTAGCAAGCTTTTAATCGTGTATGTGTGTAGAAGCCAAACTCGTCACGTGAAATCTACGGAGTCCTTTGGTAAATCCCAAAGAACTTTGGCAAAATTTTTCACGAGTGTTCCTCTGTAAAATCCTAGAAATTTTTCGAACAGTGAATGAAACATTTGCGAAAGATCCTCTAAGGAGAAACTCGTAAGAAACATCTGTGACAAAGTTTCTTCTGTTTGACTCTGCCACTCACGCTCTGGAAACCCAAGTTTGTACACGTGTGCATTATTTGCTGAATACGTACATGTATGCAGCAAATACTGCATACATGGCCAGGTACACACTTTGGCACATAGCTTATAGCATAGAGCTCTACGTGTTACATGGCCATGTATGCAGTATTTGCTGCATACATGATCATATACGCAGTATTTGCTGCATACATGTAGATATTCAGCAATTAACGTGTATATGCTTGGGTTTCCAGAGAGGTTTCGGGAGTTTCTTTAGCCAAACTGACCCCAAAATATAAATATTTTGTAAACATTGCATCGCATTGCATCATGTTAAGAGGCAACTTGACAAAGTAGAAACATTTGGACTAAAATTTTGTCTCTTTGGCTCTGGCTCTATCTGCACTGTTTGAGCGCTGACGGGTTCTTTTCAACAAAAATCAAACTAAGGTAAGGAAAGAACCCTGCTACTCATTCGCTAAAAGGGAGACATTCTAAATCCAAACCTGTCGTCGGATGATTTTTCTGTAGCTGTTTGCTAAAACATTTATTTTCAAAAGCGATTGTGAATGTGAAGTTACGGGCTGCAGAAAAAACAGTATGTTTTCTGGCAGACAACTATATTGAGTAATTCAAAGTATACAAACTTGGAGTGCGTCCATCTGTTGTGCACTGGCATTTGCAGGACTCTGCGCATCGACTGTCGGCATAAATGCAGTCACCACCTTCGGTACAGCTAGAAGGGCGCCCACAGTCTATAGCGCTGCTGCTAGGGCACTCAGAGAATGACTTGCCTGAAAACAATCATAATACACCAATAAAATTGATTGCAGGTATATGTGTTCCCCTTAAAGTATAAAGCTTAGTACCTCCTATATCCACTCCATTGATACTAAATAAAAACGTATCAACACCTTGGCACGTTGATTAATTCTATAGAATCATTTAAACATTTGCTGGCAATAGTCTTTTCACAGCACTTTGGGTGTGATAGAAAACGATGACGAGGGTTCTACGGATATGAGCTCGAGTATTTGAAGGGGCGTTTTAACGTTCACTTCCCACAGAGGAAAATAGTCGGGAGGTTTACGGGAAAAACTTTCAATGACGTTTGTCGTTAAATAACAATTTGAAAATATACATTTATAAGCCCTTTCCTACTGACTTCAAATTGATTGACAAGCTGAAATAGGTTGTCACAAGTTCACAAAATATTTTGTTAATACAAATTACAACAAATGTCGTAAATTTACAAGGATATTTTTTTAACAGTGCCTCTTTCTTGGAATGTCTTTTGTGTGTGTGGGGGGGGGGGGCGGTGATTGCAGCGGCGTACTTACTTGGGAGATTGTTTGACTTCACCGTAGTCAGCACAGCGCAGACGAACAATACCGCATATGTTGCAAGGAATGCTGCTTTGCTGCGCCCCATAACGATACCTGTTGCGAAAAGAGACAAGTTAGGCGCTGGGCGACGACAAATCGCCTTACTCCAGTGATCCATAACCTTTGGGTTTTATCCGTCCCACGTGACTATTTTCAACACAAGAAACTTGTTCAACAGGCAGGCCCTCTCTTCCCCGTCAAATGGAGTGCCCAGTGTCCAGCTCTATGTCTCTTCGCTGCGAACTCCGTTCGGCAGGGCCCGGCCTGCTCATAAATGTAGTATACAGGCAAAAATAAGGCATCGTCTATCCCAGCCCGTGAAGAGCATTGACACCAACATGACCCTACCGAGCCGTGCCTTGCCGCACCAAAGATTTACATCGTAAGGTGTCGCGTCTTAGTGGTTTTCTCACATTTAGACCGCGCAGGTGCCGTCTGCGCATGCGCCAACCTCCCCCCAGCAGCCTGCATCCCCCCGAAGCCACCTATCGAGGGGAAGGAAAGTATGCGAATTCGTCAATGTGGTTTTTCAACGACGAAAACCTGGCCCATGGCCCAGTCATGTTGGTTTCAGCCAGGGGCTCCTATGCTCCATCTATGCCTGCCTACATATACTACATTTATGGGTCTGCTCCGTCTCCGAGCGACGTCGTATAGTCGGCGTGAGGCCCGACCTACACGGAAAAAAAGAATTTGCTCCCACAACCAACGATTTTGTTAACATAGACATAGCAAATAATTTTTAGTTGCCGAACAAAGAAATTGCTATGGGAACCGAAATTCTGCTGCCACAACTAACGCGTCGCTATGGTAACAAATGCAACTGTTCTGGTTACTAGACGAGTTTTTTATCTTACAACAAACGCATTTGTTTGTGACAGAAGAATTTTGCTTCCCATAGCAAATTCTTTGCTTCTGCAACTAAAATTGTTTGTTATGTCCATGTTAACAAAATCATTAGTTTTGTGGGAACAAATTCTATATTTGTGTGTACAAGTTGTGGGCGCCATAACAAAGATAGGGTGTTCCAGGCTACCTAAACCAGAGGTGAACAAGAACAAACTCACTTATTTATCTGTTTTCGTCCGTTCAGTATGAGAAATTACCATGGTACAGTTTGGTCCGATTCTAACCTCTAAAATGAGGGAAAGCTCAAAATTGATCTGACAGTTTCTCATACCTGAAAGGCCGTAAGATTACGTGATCACGTAGACCAATCAGAGCCGTTGTCACAGAAAAGTCAGTAAGTTTGTTCTCTTCCTACTTACGTTTAGGATGGCCTGGAACACCCTTTTGGTTTGTGGGTGGGCTGCTGCCCCCAGCTTGATTTGATCATTGGACATGAGAAAATGCGGTACCGATGTGACACCGGAACTTGAACGTACCGTCAAAGTGTATAATTCTGCATCGTTTTTCTGTGTATTTCTAAAACGGATAGGGGTATGAAAAATTCCAGTGAACTCTAGAAACTAGGCGTCAAGATACATATTTTCCAGCTAGTGGAAATTTTCTTTGCAATAGTCTGCAGGTCATTAAAATTTTTCGACTCCACCGCAATAACGTTAAATCTACAGTGACCGTGGCTGAGCATCGGTGCAATGCGGCAGACGTAATTGAAGTGCCGCTTCACAGTGTGTGTACTGGTTGGGTCGACCGAGGGGGCCACCACTTCGATTGAGGATGTACACAGGATTACGTGATTACAGGGATTACACGTCAATTTTGAATGATTACACGTGAGTTACGTTGAATATTAGGCTCTAAAACAATCAAATTTGGACAATAAGGTAAAATTTAGTAATAAAGTTTTAAAATTTGGTCAAGGATTACACGGAATAGATACGGATTACGTTGGGATTACACCCTCATATGTACACAGGATTACGCGAGTGGTGGCCCCCTCGGGGTCGACCCAGGATTCTGTTATTCAAATTGCACGTTCTGGGCGGCTTTAAAAGATGAAACTACAAATTATTAAAATCTCCAGAGCCTCCCGGATAAATATCTATATTATGAACCTACTTTGTGTAATTTGCTGAAAAAATGAAAAAAAAAAAACAGTATCCGGATTTACTCTGCTGGTCCGGCATTAGACACTTTCACGCTACATGTTTGCTACTTGTGATAAATACGGAAAAGGGGATAAAATTTTCTCCGTTTAGAAAATCTACGTCTAGCTTTAAAAGAAATAATGAATATAGAGCGGAGTAGAATAGAGTAGAGAAGTCGTCTACTTACATTTTAAGACAAGGTACTTGGACGCCAGACCACGTTTCGCGTATACGCTTCGCGATATCTCATGAAACATTGTCACGCTGCGACGCGCTGACACCCGAGTCGGGCCAGGTTTTAATTTTGATTAGTTACCCCAACGCAGACCATTATTTATCTAAAGAAAAACATTTATTTGTTTCGGGGCCATTTCTGTGTGGAGAACTCCCTCTGGTGCCTAAATGGTTAGATATAGAGCCAAGAGCCAAACTGACGAGATTTTGGCCCTTAGGGATCATCCATAAAGTACGTCCGCTTTTTAGCAGATGATACTTTTAATACTTTTACTAAATATAAAGTTTTAGTTTAGACTGAAAATCCAGACTCTTTACTCTGAATCAGGTTTTCAGAGCAATTTGTCTGAATATTTTCAAGTATACTTTAACGCTGTACACTGAATATATAATTCACAGTTACCGGTATGAAATTTTTAAGTGGAAAGTCCACCGGACAAGCGGACGGACAACACAAGTAGCCGACTGTGCTCCACAGGCAAGCAGCCGGCAGCTAAATGATTAAGGTTGCGGCTTCCTAACCTGAAGGTTGGTGGTTCGATCCCAACCAAGGAGTGTCGAATGGACAGATGTGTCTCCTCTTGGGCATAGCCTCAATACCCGAGCCGAGTTTTTTTGCTATTTTCAAAAATATTTTCATACTGGCTGTCTGAATTTTCAGACTAAGTGGTATGGTATGGCAATACCAAAATTTTAGACCTGGGTGCAGTCTGAAATTTCAGACTGCTGGTCTGTAAAAAAAACTTTAGACTTAGAGTACTGAAAATTCAGTAAAACTTTTTTACAGTATAGTAGAAAACAGCAAAGTGTCCCATGTTGACGCTAGTACTGATTTAGGGGCTTTGATTGTTGAATGAAAAGACTTCTATTTTGGAAGGGGATGTTGAAGGAAGTGGTACAAAACAAAGGTAGGTCAGAAAACACACACGAGAAATTATACTTTTTTTTCCTTTTCTTTTCACGAGGTAGGGCCGATGAAAAATGACAGGTCGATCAAAAAACACACCCAAAAGAACAATGATTATTCTTTACTTCTTTTTGCATACTCAAGACATTTCATTGGAAATACCTTTTATTATATTGTTAGAGAGGTGGGACAATGACAGGTAGAACAAAAAAACACACTTACAAACATTACAAACATACATGAAAAGACATTTTTTTTTCAGTTGGTGGGACAAAAGACGGGTGGGACAAGACATCCTTCAAGAAGTCTCCTCGAAAAATGAGGGTTTTTTGCTTGTGTTTGCAGAAAAATCCTCAAAATCTGAGGTGAGACCTGTGAAGGTTTCTCAAACACAGGAGTTCCCCAAAGTTTTTCCGCCTCCTAAAATAAAATTCCCAGACATTTGTCTTTTACCGTGAATTTGACATGCTCAGATATGGAGCTGCGGTAGCGTGGGGCCTGGTTTCGGCGTTTTCGATTTTAGGTCTAGTTTCAACTTATTTAAACTTTTGATTCGAAGAACATCAAAATCGGCCAAAGGGTTAAGAAATGGCAGCTGTTTTAGGAATATCGTGTTTTAATGAGAAAACACAAAAAAGAACTGCTTTGCTGTACGGGTTAGCGTAGTCCCACAACTGTTTAAGGACGCAACATCGTCTACATACGGATCGTATGTAGCGGACAGATCATACACTGACCACATACGAACCTTATACGTTACCTGTATGAACACGTGAGGATCGTACATGGAACGTATACGGTTTCTACACGGGCGTCGTCTCCCAATGTGTAGTTCGAGAGAGTGAGGAGAAAGAATATTACTTACTTTTAACAACCAAACATGGTCTGAGCAGAACAACGTGGTGCCAAAGTTCTACACGGCAGTCAAGTTTGGACTGATCTCTCGGGGGGTCGTGTTCCGTCATGATTGGAAATTGGTCAAGGTCACTGAGCGATAGCAGTCGTCTGTTTTCAGTCCGTCTGTCTGCCAGAGTGATGCAACTCGCTACTGATCATAACGCGAACGAACTTTATTGAATGCAAAAAAATACACAGTAAAGGTCAATGTACAGCTATTGATTTTAAATGGAACTGGGCTGTTTATCATGGATACTGTGAGGAAAAAGTGTCCATATCAAATTCTTACTTATTTCTAAAGGCTGCAGCAAAAGCTAGAAGTTTTACGTCAAACTCTTGAAATAACCTTAGAGCCCGTCTGCGAGCGATCCTCGGCAATAACGGAACTGTTTTTTACTTTATGTTTTAACAAAAAGGTTGCTTTCGGGGAAACACGGAAGGCACAATCTTTTAAACAACTTCCAGCTACAGAACCACCCAATGGTGTTTGCCGTGTTACTCTGAGGTACGTGTTCTTTTTCACACATGTTTCTCATACATATGGTTGTCGTGCCTACCACGGAATCCGATACCAGTTGCGCCCTTAATTCAAAAAGAAAGAAAATTAAAACTATAATTTTTTTGCGTTTTTTCGTAACTTTTAGTCTCAAAGAAAAGAATAAATATGACGCTTCGTTTCTCAAAGTTCATCGTCGTAGGGACGATAATTGGTTCGCTAATAGATTGGCGAAGCCCATCACCTCCGCTGACCAAAAAAGTTTCATTCTGTTTGTATTTGTATGTATGCACGATAACTCGAGGAGGAATAGATTACATTGATTACAAGATTACATTGAAAATCTAAATTTCGTGAGATTTTATCGTTATTAAAGCAGAAGAATGCGGGTAAAAAGAAAACGGAAATGGCAATGCTTAAACTTGATGACTTCCGTTGTTTTTTTTTTGTTCCCATTCTCCTGCATTTCAGCTTTACCGGAATGCTTTGTAAGTGATCTGGGAATTTCATGGTTGTTTTGTACCATAAGACAGATCGAGTTCAGATATGAGCATTCTGGCTCAAAAATTGACCTCTACAAAAAATCAAAAACAACGAGCTGCTAAATAAAGCCGAAGATTACCAAGGTGCTGATTAACTCGTTTAAAAACAGAACTCGCAAAACTGAACAGGAAATGCCCCCATACGACCACACATTTTCAGTCGACACAGACCATCCCTGGGGTTCCAGGTGCACTTGACCGCTTACTAACACGAAAACGTCAGTTATAACGACAAAATCTTACAAAATTTGGATTTTCAATGTAATCTTTCTCAGTCCAGGTCAAGTCTTGTATCGCATTTCGCACTTTGAAGGGATAACCGTGACAGTCGCTGTAGAGACTTACGATTTTGGGCCGTAAGGCATCGGTGCACTGATGACATGTCAGCACTGCAGGCCTAGCTATATGCGAGCGAGGCGCGTCCCTGCGGAGCAGTGTTTCGTGAGTTATCACGAAGCCTGTTACGCGTGACGTGGTCTGGCGTACATATAGCTAGTTCTTTAATATAGTGACTTCCGTATTGTTATTGCCGCATTATTATTCTTTTCGGCTTTACCCGAGTGGCTGTCGTTAACCATTTGATTTCACTCCACTGAGTGGGGAAAGTGGTAAGGAATATCACTGGGCAACACTACTTGTGAGACGTAATCCGTGTAATGCAAGCAGCTGGTCACCTGCATATAAAATTATCTCAACTCGTGAATCAGGGATGATACTTCACTAGTTTTATTTACGCTTACGTCGGAAATTTATTTAAATAGAACTTTTATTTATTACATTGTTAATCTTAAAATGTTTACGTAACAAACGACAACACACCAAAACTTAAACTCTGTCCTTAACTGTAAATTGTAGAGGAGATACAAATTTTAAAACTATTTTAAATTCAGTTTTCGCTGGGGGTTGATTCCACTCTACGGAAAAGTTTCGAAAAATCTGTAATCATAAAAATTTATGTCAATTCTGATTATAATTTGTTTAATAATGGATTCTTTCGCATTTTCAGACCTATAGCCAGGCCTACAGTGTACACTACATCTAAAGGGCCTCTTGTTGTTCCTAGAATGCATTTTCGTGCACATAGTGATCAGGTCTCATTACACATCTTGCCAGTGACTTTAATCCTCTCAACGGACAAATTTTCGTTTCGCCCGTGAGAGTGAGACGAAAATTTTCCATTCACTGTCTACAAATTTTTATTTCTTTCACATGCGCACAAAAATACATCTTTTAAAAGACCAACGAGCCTTATAAAAATGTCCCTTTAGTTTTTGAGTATGTTCTGAGGAAGACATACTAATGAAGAAATATGCTTTACAAAATGAGTAAGGGCTCAAAGGCTGCATGTCGTCTTACCTTTGCAGTTAGCAATTCCATCTCTAGAGTTGCAAATCTTTTGCCTACGCACATTCTAGGACCGAACCCAAATGGCGTGAAGGCGAAAGGATGGGAGGTCTTGAGGTCCTTGTTCTCCGGCAACCAGCGTTCGGGAAGAAACTCCTTAGCCCTTGGGAAGTATTTTTCATTCAGAAACATCTCTTTCAACGGGAAGGCGGTGACAGTCTGTGGAAAGAGTAAACTAGGTTGTAAGAAAGAAGAAAGCTTAGTTACACTATAAAATCTAGGTATTCTGTGAGTCACCGCCTTAAAAGCTTGCACCCAGAAATTGCGCGCCTTGTGTCGTTTGGGGAGGACGCCTTAGGCGTTCTCTCATTGCACATCTTGGTCAAAATGCATGGCATTGACCCCATAGGCTTGAACGAGCTGTTTACCTACTGACCCTTTTCTATTCACGGGGTGTTCTCGCCCAGCAAACCCCTTGGCTGTGGCAGTGTGGCTGCGGCAGGTCCAAGGTGTGTAGCAGCAGCACACCGCGGCCGGCTGCTTAGGCGCAGCTCGTGTAAGTATATGTTGCACACGCCATGCATTTTGCCCAAGATGTGCTATGAAACAACGCCTAAGGCGCCTAAGGCGTCCCACCTCCAAACGACACAACGCGCGTAATTTTTGGGTGAAGTGACTAAGGCGATACGTCTAAGGCGTGCCCTCACGGAACGCCCAATTTTACTGTTTAGACATTCTTTTAAAAAGGCACCTTTCATAGAATTAATGTTGATTATTGTTCACGTCCATGTAATGGCATGCTAGGCTTGGCAGAACCCTTTCTGGCAACGCTGCGCCTCACAGTAGGGTGTTCAACAGGGGCGGATCTACTCGCAGTGCAAGGGGGGGGGCAAAACACTGCGGGTTGCCTACTTCCAGGGAGCCTTTTATTTGATAAAATAAAATATTAACTTATTATATTATTTTGAGGCGGACAGTAAAATGTCTCTTTTGGTATTAATTTTTAAAGTTCAAGTGCCGTCGTATATACTAGAAGTTACACAGCAGCGGGAGAGGGATTTGCGAGCGAAGCGAGCGAAAATTTTTGTATTTCTGCTTGTTTGGGTGGGAAATTGAAACGTTCTAGTTTCGTATGAAATGCTTGAAACGAGTGCGAAAAGATCTCCGTAATTGTGCAAAGAGGAGCTGTAAGGCCGTGAGCGAAGCGAGCTAAAAATAATTGAGGTAAAACGTGGTGTATAACATAACTCCTTAATAACCGCGAGCGAAGCGAGCGAAATTTTTCTTCGGGTACACGCTTCGCTCAAAATATAGACGTTTAAATTTTGTTTCTATTGCCAGTTTAAAGTCATCAAAAAAAATTGCGTTGTCCATTCATTTTTTTCACCTATTGGACAATGTTGCGCTCGTTAAAGGGTATGCGATAATAGAAGACAGCTGATGGGACATGCATGTTCGCTCCCTGCTTCCTCATCTTATAACGGCAAAAAGGCGGATCTACATACAGCCTACCTTCTGGAAATATATTTTTCTTTTTTTATTCCTTTTCTTTATATTTTTCCTTTACTCCTCCTCTTTTTCCCTTTCTCTTTTACTCTCCCTTCTCTTTCTCTCCCTTTCCTCTTTCTTCCCTTTTTTTAGGGGGCGCCTGATCCTGAAGGGGGGGGGGGGTCAACCAGCCCTTTGCCCCTTCCCCAAATCCGCCCCTGGTTTGGGTTTCGCGACGTGGGGTTTAGCGGGTGGCCGGGCGGCCCGCGTGGAGTGTGTCGATTGCGGGCGGAGAAGGCAAGCAGGTTCCCTACCTTGGGCTCGGCAGGCGCTACTTCTTCCGATGCCTGACCAGCCGGTGTCCGTAAGGAACAAGTGATACATTCGATTTCTTTATCCTCCCGTTCCTTGTCATCGGAGCAGGCTACCCCAATTTTAACATTAAAACAACGCTTCGGCATGGGGCATCCGTGCGCTTATGAATCCACCTGGACCACTGGCCGGCCAGGCGTCGGGGTAGGCAACCAACCATCCGCCTTCGCCCGTAATCGACACACTACACGCCTCTGGGCCCGTCAAGGATCCGGTAATCCGCTGGCTGTGGACACCCCGCCCGGAATCGACCATCCTGACCCTCAGCCCCAGGTCTCAGCCGCAATCGACCACACGCCGTTCATGAAAGTACGTAGCATATGTTTCCATGGATCTTTTCGAAAATTTTGGTCAGGGAGGTCATTGAAGGCAGTGGTGACTACTGGACCAGGAAGGAAACATCGGTGCCAGAAGTCGCCACTCCCTTTATTTTGAGTTTTTTTGAATTCATGTTGTGCCTTTTCTAAGAACTTGGGCCCTATGACAGTGTGGTTAAGTGTTGGGATCGTGTGTCCACCATTTTCTTGTTCGTATTACATAGTGCGTACGTCAGGAATTTGTCTGCTTTGACTACCAGGAGTTTCCGTTTAATACCCTACTTTTGCAGAGCCTTTGCCTGAGCTGCACTGGTTGCCCGAGACCGCCCGAGACAAACGTCACCAGAAAGAGGGTAGGGGCAGGGGCATCTCGGGTGCCTCGCTGCGTCTGCCGGTTCAGTTCGGTCGGGCCATGATTCTGAAACCCCCAAAAGCCGTCAGGTGACTACTGGGCCAGGCACTGGCGCCTACTGGGCCGAAGGTGTCCTGTATTGGGCTAATGCTCTTTTTATTTTGTTAGAATCTTTAATATACAGAAATAAATTTATTTTCAGTTTTGGTCAAGGGAGAATTCAGTTTAATCTCTTCCCTACACCTTCGAATTTTTCCCGGGTTCCTGTATACCCACGCTTTGTGGCAGGCATTTTTGAAAAGCCTTGCCCTTAAACTGGCCGCTGCTGGGCTTCTTATCATGGTAGTTTGGGCCGATTCTAACCACTCAAATATGGAGGGGAGCTTGTAAGTGATCGTACAGTTTCTCATACCTAAAAGGCCGTGGAGAAACGTGATCAGCTCGACCAATCAGAGCCATTACGGAAACAGAAAAATTTTGTTTTTCTACCTCTGTTTTAGATGGCATGGAACACCCTATTCAGATAGTCAATGTCATTTACGACGAACTGCATTGTCAAGCAATGAGAATCGGCGAACTTTACGTCCTTGTTCCGGTCTAGCCCATAGACATAGTAGTGATGTGGACTGCTAGAGGAGGCCCAGTCTATTGTCCTCCGAGTCCAGTTTATGGCTGTCTCTCGGTGCGTCGGGGACGACCCACATTCGGCTGTCTTCGGAAGCCGAAGCCAGCCTCGTCTCCAGTACTGCACGGTCCCCGGTCCCAGGAACCCCGCCCCAGTCCGCCCATGCTATATCCAATTAAGAATTGGTCGTTTTCACGCTTAGCGCAGCGCGCGCTCACGCCGGCGTGAGGCGGGCGAGGGGCAGGGTGTGGGGAGGCAGCGGCGGAAGAACTGCTAACCCTCTTCGCCCCCCGCTTCCCCTCTTGCCCTCCGCGCTCACGACAGCGTGAGCGCGCGCTGAGCGTGGAAACGACAAAATTCTTAACTGGATATAGCACCAGCGATGAGAGACAGACCCGAGCCTGAGCCCGAGCGGTGCCGGACAGGCTTCAGCTGGATACCGTCCCGTCAGGCGCGCGTCTACACGAGGGTCGTAAGCCACCGCGAGAAAACAAAAGGCTGGCAGTCTAGATCACTAATATGTCGTTGGTCTACACTTCCTTCTTTTCGCACATAGATCTATCGTTTGTTGCCAACCACGTGGTGTGATCTACACGAAACACTTACGCCCTTTGGGACCTGGTACCCTGCAAGAACGACGTCACCGCCAGTATCACGGAAATTTGAACCAAGAATTGGCATGATCCGCATCGACTCCTTGATGCAAGCTCTCATGTACCTGGAAACAATGTACTCTAATAAGTGATATTGGACCTGTAATTGTCGCAAATTGTATTTGAGTAACTTACCTCAGCTGCTCAAGCTGCTCCTTAGTTATTGGTTTAGTTTTGTCGGGAATGACCCGATCAAGTTCAAGCTGTAGCTGAGCTTGCTTCTCGGGGTGTAGTGACAGCTGGTACAATATTGTAGTTATAACGGCTGAAGTCTGTTAAAACAATAAATACTAAAGACAACTAAAAAAAGTCACATCGGGGCAATATATAGGCGAAAGAGGAAATAACATATATGACAAACTGTATCTAGTTGACTCGACAATCAAGGTTTGTGCATACCGTGTCTACCCCAGCCAGAAGCATGTCTAGGGCCATGGCTACAGCCTTGTTGGGGTCATCAGTCTGCAGAAGCAGATTTTCAAGAACACTTCGCTGTTGTGTGTGTAAATCTTCCTTGGGTGTGTGTTGCAGACGCTCCATTGCTTTGTTGACGTATTTGGATGCAACACTAATTATTTACAAATGTCAAAAATTAGTCAAACGTTTTACCTCTAGATGACTCCATTGCATCAACGATGACCAGCAAACCTCGGGAAAACAAGAGTCTTACCCGCTTACACGACAATATCTAACGTTTTCCTATAAGACAAGCCCAAGCCCAGAGTGTACCCAACTCTACTTGTTTCAAAGAAAGCGAGAGAAGTTTGTTACTGTGGGGCAACAAATACCATAGAAAGGATGCGAACTCACGGACTGGCATATCTTTGTGGCCTTTGTTGCTCAGAAGCACTTCAGCACGTAGCTGTTATCATAGGGCTCTAAGTGTGTACATGACCAAGAACACAATACCTCCTTTATACACGAGCATGAACAAACTTCCGTCTGAATACACGACCATGTACATACACACTGCCTGTATTCAGGAGGTACTGCATACATGTACACACTTGAGTTTCCAGAGAAGAGTTTCTTTGCAATACAAACTTTTTCTTAGCAAAACGGAGCTCGACTGTCTTTTGAAACGGTACTAAGAATATAGTTCTGTAGTAAAGAATATGGTAAATGAAATACGCACTTTGTGAATGTATTCATGTTATGGATGAATCGACGATATGCTGGAGTTGAAACAAATTTCCAAAGTGATGGCTTTATGTCCAGGTCGTATATGCCGTCAAAAACTCCCTGGACCGCTTCAAACATGGTGAGTGCTTCCGGCGGAGGGGTTGGAGTTCCAAAAATGCCTATTCTGGTGTCGAGGGCAATGTAGCAGACAGCTGCAAGAAGAGTGCTGTGGCTCAGAAAAGGATCTCAGAAATTCAGTATGCATGCCGATGTTCACTAAATTGGAACTTTGATGTCACACAAAGTGTTTTGGACGATTGGACTAACGGCCGCTCACGGCACGTGAAAGTGCAACTTACATTCAAGTGTCCACGTCCCCAGTTCATTGGCAAAATCAGGAGGCATTTGACCGTTAGCGTAACGAACAGCTTTTATTCTGGAAAAGAACAGAGTTGGTGAAGTTCTTGCGATCAGTGCTTCATGAAACAGGATTCTTTCAGCTGTCGAAAACTAATCGGAGACCATTGAAACTTTCAATTATGTCAAATTTTCATGCAGAAACAAACAAATTGTTTACGATTGATAGAATTATAGGGGCCCTATAACAAGTCAGAATCCGAATCGAAAATGGTTGTGTTTAGTGGATTACTTTATCTATATTTCTTTCAATTTTGAGCCTTGGCTTTACAACTTCGTGTCCCACGTCGTCATTTTTAGATTCCTTTCGCCGAAAACTTCCCTCGAGTGCGTAGATGGCCAGAGATAGAGCAAAGCGGACGAAATTGTTGACCGGAAATTTTACAGCTCAGATATCCTCTTTCGAGAACCAGAACAGAATTCTTTGAATTTTTGAGCTACAATGTTCATAACGAGAAACTTTGCTCTAGCTGAGCCAAGTATGGCAGCACTGTAACATACAGCGCAGTATAGCATAATGAACATACACTTACCTATCAATAAACTCTTGGCTCATCTTGTCAACAGGCTCTACATAACGCACCGTATGCCTAGGCTGCATCATGACTTGGTTAACTGAAGTTCGGAAATCTTGCCATTCT